GTACATTTTGTTTTCAAATGTGTTCTAGTGTGTTGGATGCCAATACTTAGACTCGAACACTCATTTTACTATTATAACTAGTAAATCTATCCGCGTTTCGTGTAGTTGAATACAAAACTAGGGCTGTTCACCGTTTGATGGAAAACTGATCCAAACCGAAAACCAAACTAAACCGATTAAGTAAACTAATATTTTTTTTGATTTGGTTTTAAATTTTAAAAACTGATAATATTTGGTTTGGTTTTGGTTCTATTATAAAAAAATCAAAAAATAAACCGAATCAAACCGATTAATTATATACAAAATTAAATAATTATTTATATACAATATAATATCTTTTTCTAAATAATTTTAAATATTTTATGCAATTTAATTGTTATTTTGAATTTTGATTTATCCTACTTATATCTTAAAAGATTGCCTAAGCCCAAAACAATAGGAATCGACCAATTTTCTTTTCCCTAAGAGACTTTAATTCTCTAACCCTCCGCGCATACTTTTGCCTAACAGAAGAGTTAGAAAAAATTCTACCATAAGAGTAAAGAAAGCAAACTCAAAATGCAGGACTACAGTAGCTAAAGCTTGAGAAAACAAACTTTTAGTTTGTTTTTTTGTTCATTCTTTTCATATAACGAGGTAAATAAACTTTCAGTTCCGAAAGAAATATATAAAAAACCATAAATTTAGCAAATTATTTTTAGATTATTGTATAGTGTTGTTTCACTATTATCGACTTATTATGAGCTTACTAAGAACCGAAAAATCGAACCAAACCAATAACAACCAAACCGATGGTTTGTATTTAATTTGGTTTGGTTTTGGTTGTAAAATTTTAAAAACCGATTAAATTGGTTTGGTTTTGGTTGTAAAATTTTAAAAACCGATTAAATTGGTTTGGTTTTGGTTTTAATCAAAAACCGATCAAATCAAACCGTGAACTAGGGCTGCTTATCGGGCGAATTGGGCAGTTATTTACTTTTAGCGGTTTGACTTATCGGTTATCGATTTTTAAATGTATTAATCCGTTAGCCACCCGATAAAGTATCGGGCGGATTGGTATCTGTTTAATTCTTATCAGGCGATTATCGGACGGTTTATCGGCCTAGCAAAATTATCAATGATTCTAAATTTATAAAACTGAAAATAAGTACTAATTATCATTCGTCTCTCCCCCTGNGCCAGCCCTTGGGCGCTGGCGAGAGGCATCGGTGGGGCGACAGAGGCGCATGCGCGCTTGTCACCTGGGCGCAGCCAAAACCGCGGGGCCGACCATGGCGCTAGGCATTGTGAGGTTTGCTAGGCCGCCATGGGGCACGGCCAAGGGTTCAAGAGGCGTGTCTGGAAAGCAGCCCATGACAATAAGCACGCGATCTGGATAGAATAGTTACAAAATGATGGTTGACTTTAATTTTATAAAGCGAGATGTTTGATAGCAGAAACATAGTACGTAGTAGATTGTAGCTTTGCAATGTTAAAGAAACATATAATGGTTTGACCTGGTGTTTTAAATTTAATATTCTCCTCGTTACCATTTTATATGCATTATTAAGAACATGACTTATTCAAGAGTTTTTGTTTTTTTTTATATTTAATATATATAAATAAAAATAAATTATATATGTATATATGTTCTTAACGGGTTAACGGATTAGCCGTTAAGAAAATTGAATAATCCGCCCCCAAACCGATAAGCCGTTAATAAATTTTTTTTAATCCTTTTCCCGTCCACTAAGCCGTTACCAGTAAGCTATTAAGCTTCGGTTCGGTTCGGTTCGGTTTTCGGTTTCGGATCGGTTTTGAACACCCCTACCGTGAACACCCCTATACAAAACCAAATACTATGAATTATAGCCATACTATTCACGGTATTGTTGCTGCAATACCATATTTGAGGCATGAAAAGTAGAAAGAGTCTTTTCCAATAAATCCTCATCATTCACAATTTGCCCACATAATTTAAGATGGGAAGTTATCCTGAATATATGATAATTATATTCACTTACAGTTTTAAAATCATGTAATTGTAAGTGAATCCATTCATATCGAGCTCTTGGCAATACCGTTGCTTTAAGATGGTCATATCGTTCCTTCATACTGTTCCATAATTTAAATGGATCTTTTAGAGTTGAAGTATTCAGTCTTTACCCCTTCATGGAGATGATGATGGAGGAAAATCATAGCCTTTGCTTTATCCTGGACTGATGCTTCATTTTCTTGTATAATAGTATTTTCAAGAGCTTTTGCAGCAAGGTAAAATTCAGCATCAAAGATCCATGATAAATAATTCTTTCCAGAGATGTCAAGTGCCACAAATTCAAGCTTTGCTAAATTCGACATAATGAAAATTATCATTAAAAAAATAGATAAATTAAAAGCAATTTGAATAATTATGAAACAAGAAAAAATTAATAATAATAATAATAAGTTATGTAATACGGTATTCATATTTATATAAACAGAATTCAAAACATTTTTGAATCAATAAAATTAACCGAAAATCTCTGTGGCAAATTCTTGATTGAATTAAGATAAAAATAAACAAAAAGAGAGGTGAAGCTCAGCTGTACTTATGCAAAGTCTTGTTACGGAATGATTTAATATACATATTCTAGTGTCAATTTTTTTTTTTAACTACATTTAAGTTTAGCTGGTTGTTAATGTTATTGGCATAGTCCACTTTGCCAGTACTTAGGTCCATGTTTATACTTTGTGTCTGTCAAAATACAAGGAAATATTTTCTGAACAACTGTAGTGTTAACTGCTCAAGAAAGGGCCTGTCGTAATAACTATTTTGGATATGGTACTACATACCGATTGTATTGAAAAAAAACTGAATCTAAATATTGAAGATGACGTGTCATGACATATGGACTGGTCAAAAGGTCAAAACGTAATAAATAGCCAAATGGCACGGGAGACAACAAATATGAGGAGAAGAAAACAACATAGGTGTGGACCGTTACTCAAATAGGTACGAGTCTCGTACCTATTCGAGTCATTTAAAGACCGAAGATCGGAACAAGTTGAAGATACGAATCTGATAACGTAAAAGAGTCTAAATACAACATTAAATATCAAATACGTTAGAGAATTTGAATTAAATAGAAATGATTGTGTAACGTTTCTTTTAATGTCATTTATTGCTCATTAAGACAAAGACATTACATCTTCTCCTAGAATCAACTATAAAAGGAGAAGGACTCAACATATGTAAGAACAAAAAAAATATTATTGAGATTACACTGAAATACAAAATTACTTATTACTTTATTATTCTCAAAAGTCTTTTATTATTTTCGTCTCCAGATTATCAGTAACCCGAATTTCTCTATATTTCTAAACTTTGACCAAAGACTCAGATTTTCGGTTAAACAAATTGGTTCCGTTACCGGGAATCTGATAATCTTCTCTTTTAAGCTACATTCCAGCCGTTGTTATCATCATGTCAAACAACAATAACAGTGAAAACACCTTGGGAAACCATGAAAATCAAATCGATCAAAATCAAGGAGATTTACAGAACATTGCCGTGGTTCCCTCCCCTCAAAATTCACCACGTCAATCTCGTGAAGGCACTCTTGCTCCTGAATCTCGTGCTGATCAACAAGAGCAATCTAAATATTTTGAAGGGGTAGATGAAGCTTTACAAAAAGTAATTGATGCACGGGTTAACAAAGCTATTCAGGCTCTAGTTAGTCGATTACCTATTGCACCACCCACACCTACACCTAATAATAATACATTGGAGAATCCTCGTTCTGGCCTTGTTAATTCTGGAAATGGAGGAACCCCCAGTGAACCACAGGAAGGAGAACTGGGTAATTCAAATAATTCTCATTTGCAAAATTTAGTATTAACTTTGCAGAAACAACTTAAGGAACAAAATGAGCGCATCGAGCAAATCCCTGGAGTTCCCCCTGTAATTAAAGGAGTGGATGTGGATAAATACTCACAACAACCTTGGAAACCAAGTGCTGCTCCCCTTCCAATCCCTAAAAATTTCAAAATGCCTGACATCTCGAAATATGATGGCACAACAGACCCACATGATCACGTAACTGCATTTACAACAGGCGTGAAAGGCAATGACTTGACCAAACAAGAAATTGAATCAGTACTGGTCAAGAAATTTGGAGAAACACTCACCAAGGGCGCTAACCTGGTATTCTCTTTTACCCGAAAATTCTATTAATTCTTTTCCTGAGCTTGNTTTTATTAAAGCACACTCGGGAGCTCAAAAGGTTGAGAAAAGAATGGAGGATATTTTCAAAATCAAGCAAGGGGACTCCGAGTTGCTCAGGGATTTTGTTGATAGATTCCAACGTGAAAGAATGACTTTACCTCGTGTACCTGATAACTGGGCTGCAATAGCTTTTGCAAGCAACTTAAATGACAAAAGCTCAGAAGCCACGAGAAGACTTAAAGAAAGCCTTCGAGAGTTTCCTGCAACCACGTAGAATGACGTTTATAGCAGGTATAGTACGAAGTTGCGAATTGAGGAAGATACCGTACCCCAGTTTCGTCATGAAGAGAGGAGCACTTCCAGGAGATCAGAAACCGAAAAAAGATCAGGTAAAAAAAGGTACGATCCATATATGGGACCTGCAGGGAAAGACTTACGGTCAAATCAGGATAGTCAACGATATGATCAAAAATCGAGGAACATGGAATCTGGTTCTTCATCAAGGTTCAGAAATGACCGAAACAGACAAGAGTCACGAGATAATGACAGTAGTTTAAAGGAAAGGCTTGGCATATATAACTTTAATGTCACTACCTCCGAGCTCGTAGCTATTTTGAGGAGCATGGGAGATAAGGTACGATGGCCAAAAGAGATGCGGTCAAATCCAAATAGACGCAATCCAGACCACTGGTGCGAATTCCACAATGATCACGAGCAAAAAACTTCAGAATGTAGATTCTTACAAAGTGAAGTGGATCATCTATTGAAACAAGGGTATCTCATTGAGTTGTTTAGTGAGAAAGGTAAGCAAGCCTATATGAAAAATAGACAGGAGCCACCAAAGCCCCCTTCACGCAAGAGAACCGTGAATGTTATAAGTGGGGGTGAAGATATTCACGGTGTAACATATACGGCTTCCAACAAGGTTTCTAAAGTAACGATAACACACGAGAAACGGGTACGGCAGGTTTTAGAAAACGAAAGTATTTCTTTCGATGATGCAGATACCGAAGGAGTAATGACCCCACATAACGAGGCACTAGTAATATCTTTACATGTATATGATACTAATGTAAAACGAGTTTTGATTGATCCAGGAAGTTCCGTGAATATTATACTATTAAGGGTATTACGTGAAATGCAAGCTGAAGACAAAATTATACCTAAGGTGCATACCCTATCTGGGTACGACAATTCAAGTATGGTAACAAAAGGAGAGGTAATTCTAACAACATTTGTTGCAGGTGTTGTTAAAAAAACTAAATTTCAGGTAGTAGATATGGAAATGACTTACAATATGATCATGGGGAGACCTTGGATCCATGATATGGATGCTGTCCCATCAACTCTACATCAAGTTATTAAATTCCCATCACCGTGGGGAATTTGCCAAATTCGTGGGGATCAGCAGACAGCTAGAAATATCAACGCTGTAACAGATACGAGCACCGTAAATAAAGAAAAATAGCAATTACAGGAAACAATTGAAGGTATCAATGATCAAACCTCAACCGAACAAGAAAAGACAGATTTAGACTCGAGACCTGATACAATTCAGGAACCTGAAGAGAATGAAGATATCAAAACAACAATTGAAGAGCTCGAGGCTGTGATATTATTTGAGCAATGGTCTGAACGGAAGGTTTATGTTGGAGCCAATTTAAGCTCAGACATGCGAGGTATGTTGATTGAATTTTTAAAAGCTAACGTGAACTGTTTTGCTTGGTCCCATGCTGATATGACAGGGATACCACCGGATGTGATGACTCACAAACTAAATGAAGACCCATCCTTCACACCAGTAAAGCAAAAGAAAAAAAAGCAAGGAGCTTTCAAAACTCAGGTGATTCAAGATGAGGTCCAAAAGCTATTAAAAATTGGGTCAATACGCGAGGTAAAGTATCCTAATTGGTTAGCAAACACAGTTTTTGTACATAAGAAAAAAGGTAAGTGGCGGGTTTGCATGGATTATACAGATCTTAACAAAGCCTGCCCAAAAGATTCTTTC